CTTCCCAGTATCTTTGCTTTGCAAACCTACCTGATCATCCTATTATGCCTTTAGTAAAAGAGTAGTCTAACTGATATTTTAAAGAGATTAAAGAGTACATTCTTGGGTTGCTACCAGAAGGCATTGCGATGGTGCCATAGGAAGTGCTCAGCATCTGTGGTGTTCTGCACAATGGGAGAATGTGTTTCTAGCTTGGACTCCAACTAAGAAGTTACTTGTCCTACCAGGAGGGGCAAAGTAGAAGATGCAGGACAAAACATAGAGGTAACAGGCAGGCAGGAAGAACTCTGAGGAAGAAGACAGCCTCATGGCTGTGTAGGGACTTCTGAGGGGATCTGCTGAGGAATAGTCCATAATGACTGTGTTTTGAGGAGATTTTAAAGAATCATTGATGGAGGCTGAGGGCCCTGGCCAGGGCCCAACAGGTGGCACGGTACCGGACAGTCAGTAGATACTCAGTACATGTTGATAAAAAGAATGAATGGATGAATGGATGAAAGAAATAAGAAATTGACACTCCCATCGCATCCTGGGGTAAAACAAGAATCACTGGGCAACCCACAAGACTACCCCCAGAATTTGAGGAAAATTTTACCAGACCAGAGGTAATTGTACTTGGCACAAAGGGATTCTTTTCTTTTTCTATTATTTACTTTAATTTTTTGTGGCAAATGTTGCTGCTCTTTTTTTAAATTATTGATTAAAGTATTACATATGTGTCCTTATCCTCCCATTGCCTCCCCCCCCTACTCATGCCCTCACCCCACTGGTGTCTGTGTCCATTGGTTAGGCTTATATGCATGCATACAAGTCCTTTGGTTGATCTCTCTCCCTTACCCCCACCCTCCCCTACCTTCCCTCTAAGTTTTGATGGTCTGATCGATGCTTCTCTGTCTCTGGATCAAATTTGCTTTTGTATAAGACAAAATAAAAATTAAATTAAAACATGATCTCTGCAAAGTTTCACACATATTCCTAGAAGTATGATCACTGGATCAAATGGGAGGAGATTCTTTTCTTAATGAGAAAGAATTCACTCCTTCAGAAAATATATGTTGAGTATTTACTACGTGACATGGCTCTAGGAATTGGGGATACAGTGAACGAAGCATTCTAAGTCACTGTTCTCATGGAGCTTACATTCTAATGGAACAAATAATATACAATAGATACAATGTACAAGGTGATGATATATGTTATAAGGGAAAATAAAGCAGGGCTTAGGGGGTGCTATTATATATGTAATGGTCGGACAGAGACTCTTTGATAAGATAACATTTGGGTAGAGAGCTAAAGAAAGTGAAGAAGGAAGACATCTGGGTATAAAGGAGAAGAGCAATCCTGGAAGCGAGAACAGCAAGTGCAAATGGCTTGAGACATAGAACAGCAAGGCCAGAGTGGCTAGAGTAATTGGCAGCTTCAGAGAGGTTGGATGAGGGTGTGTGTAGTGTCAATATTGTAATTTATAATGAGAAACATATATTTAGTCTTTGTCCTATTTCTGGCACAGAGCTCCTAAAACCCTTGAAATGTCCTAAGTCAGTGGTTGGCAAACTCATTAGTCAACAGAGCCAAACATCAACAGTACAATGATTGAAATTTCTTTTGAGAGCCAAATTTTTTAAACTTAAACTATATAGGTAGGTACATTGTTATTAACTTAATTAGGGTACTCCTAAACTGGCCTTTGCTAAAAACGTCCTCAATCTGATTGAGGTACGTTTGCTGAGGTTGACCCCTTCCAACTCTCCCATCCACACTCGTCTTGTATACTTGTTTCAGATAGATGACTGTGGGTGGGAGAGTCCGACTGACACCCCCCACTTCTTCTAACCCCACTTCTTCAAAATAGACTCGCCCAGGCCGAAAACTGACTTCTGTGCATGGGCCAGGAAGTTTCAATCGCACTGTACATGCGCGCCCGCACGTAGTATTTTGTGGAAGAACCACACTCAAAGGGCCAAAGAGCCGCATGTGGCTCTCGAGCTGTGATTTGCCGACCACTGTTCTAAGTGATGAGAGTGATAAAGATGTCTTTTGTTATGTTAATGAGGTGCCTTTTGGACCTAAGGATGGGGGTTAGTTGCCAGGAAAACCAACCTTAGGTTTAGAGGATTGGAACTTTCTGTCCCACCCCCCAACCCCCCAGAGAAGGGATAAGGGCTGAAGATTGAGTTCAGTCTCCAGGGGGCAAAAATTTAACCAATCATGCCTATATCATAAAGCCTCCATTAGAAAACCAAGCTGATAGGACTCAGGGAGCTTCTGGTTGATGAACACATGGAGGTACTGGGATTTTGGTGTGCTCAGAGCACAGAAACTATGTGCCCCTTCCCACATACCTTGCCCTACTCGTCTCTTCTGTCTGGCAGTACCTGAGTTATATACTAGTATATCTTTTCATAATAAACTGTTTCTCTGAGGTCTGTGAGCTGCTCTAGCAAGTTAATTGAATCCAAGGAGGGGGTTGTGGGAACCTCTGATTTATATAGTTGGTCAGAAGTACAGATAGCAACCTGGACTGTGATTGGCATCTTGAAGTCCAAGAGGGGGTTATGGGAACCTTCAATCTGTAGCCATTCAGAAGCACAAGTAAGAACCTAGACTTGTAATTGGCAACACCTATCTGGTGTCCAACAATTGCTTAGATTTGTGGGATTCCCCCTCCCCGCCCCAACACACACAGGAATTAGGTCCCAGAACCATTTGAGTAAGGTGCTGTAGGTTGTGGTAAAATTTGGCTTTTACTCTGAATTAGACGGGAAGCTATTGGAGACTTTTAGAAGCATGCTATGATTTGATTTCCTTTGTAACAGAATTACCTTGTCTACATTGTGGTGAATAGGCCATGGAGGGCAGAAGAGTAGAAGCAGGGAGACCATTAAGAGAGAGTAGTCTTGCAATAGTCTAGGCAAGAGATGGTGGTGGCATGCCTTGGGGTGTCAGTGGAGATGATCAGAAAAGGTCAGATTCTGGATCTGTTTGATTGTGAAAGATCAGTCAAGACAACTTCAAGGAAAGATAGAGCTGGCATTTATTGGGAGGAGCAAGTCAGTGTAGGAGGGGAAGTGAAGAGTTATGTTTTGCATCTGTCATGCTTGATGTGGCTGCGGGACCACTCAGTGGAGATTTTGAGGAGATTGTTATAATTCAGGGGAGAGTCTGGGTTGGAGATGAAGAGTCATTCTGTAATGGTGTATGATGCCATGTTGTTAGATGAGCCACAGGATGAGTGGAGAGAGAAAGAGAAAAAGAGGATTGGCCCTAGAGTGCTGCTATCTGCCCAAATCTAGAAGATGAAGAAGACTGAGAAGGAAAGGCCAGGAAGACAGAGAGTGGTGTCCCGGAGACAAAGGGGGGGAAGGGGACAATCAAGTGTATCAAATGCTGCTGTAGGTCACTCCAGGCGAGACCCGACCACTGCATTCTGTGATAGCAAGGTCACTGGTGACTGTGATGTAGAGTGCTGGGAACCGAACTCTAAAATAAGTCTTACTCACAAATACCATAAGATTTCACTTGCAGGTAGAATCCAAAGAACAATATAAATGAACAAACAAAACAGAAACAAACTCAAAGATACAGAGAACAGACTGATGGTGCCAGAGGGGAAGGTAGTTGCGGGACTAGGTGAAAAAGGTGAAGGGAT